CACCTGTAACGCAGGTTCAACCCCCCCCCTCCCGAGCGTTACGTATTCGATAAAATTACTTTTTTTTTCTTTGTCAAGTATTGATTTTTTTTTATTTTTTTATTTTTAACGCATCATAAATTTTACCGGTGCCACGCTGGCATCACAAATGATCGAATTTTTACGGGCGCGCGTGCTTCTTGTTTCTGAAAGTTTTGGATTTCGCCAGTCCCGCCGTCACGCCATGTCACAACAGTTTTGACGAAGCCCCATTAGGAGTCAAAGAATGCTTTAAAAAATGCTGTCCTCACGAAAATGGGAGCCAAGAAGTAATTAAAGCAGTCGTAATTAGTCGGCCTGAGCAGCCTCTTCCTCCAGTATAACCAAGTAGCGTTCATTAAGTCATTTATCGGTCTTGGGCTCGGGAACGCTGATCACACAGGTAAAATTCGAATTTTTTCTTCCTCTAGATTTTGACACGGTCCAAACACATGGAATGTTACAGGGTGTTGTAAAAGCCCTTAACGCTTGAATCTCGAAAAAGGAACTCGCGAGAATGTCAGCAGTCAGCTCGTGGGGTCATTGCGAGTTACCTCCTTTTCAACTTCTTTTGGTTTTCTCTCTTCCTTAACGTAATCTCTAGATTTTTATTGTAATTCCGCATTTTTTAAGTGTCGTCAGCAAGGAAATAATGAACAGAACAAATTTAAGAAAAGCTGTTGTTGCGATCGGTAGTCTTTCCTCCCTAATTTTCCAAGTATTCCTGAAAATTGTTAAAGGTGTAGTTTGAACCTACACCCCCCCCCCCATCTCTCTTGTTTTGAGGAGGGGAGCTGATCGACGTACGGTTTGAGCCCGACTAGAATGTTGCAATGGAGATTTTAGTGTATTTTCCGAAGGACATACACTATTTTTAATAAATGCAGCCATCGCTGCTTGCTCTTATATTCTTCTTTCAAATTTCTTTTCTGCAAAGGAAAAGTTCCCCTCAATATTTAAATTGAATCGGGCTTGTGCGTAAACGTCCGTTGTGTAACGCATGGTTCCAGAATCATAATTTGCGTGGGATGATTTAATTATAACATACAAACTGAAATTGGTGTAAGACGTTAGAAGTGTAAAGTAGTGTTATTTCAAGTCCTACAGAAATTGAAAATCTATGGAGGACATTATTTTTGCCTCCTAATCAGTGCAGAAATAAACTACCAGATACAACTCTGAAAGAATGTATGTAGGTACCTAGCACATCAGTCGTTTTCGCCTGAGCCAATTCAATCGTGTTCTTAATTTTATTGTAAATGCAATTCGTAACGAGTTCATACTTTGTTTCAGAATCTACTTTGTGTTAAAAATGGCCGCATCACCAGCTTTGAAAGACTTGCCGAAAGTTGCAAGTGATCTCAAAAATCAACTGGAAGGCTTCAAATCCGATTCAATGAAACATGCCGAGACAGACGTCAAAAACATCTTACCATCAGCAGAAGGTAAGAAAGACCTCAGGCAAAGAATTACCCTTTTCCCATGAAGTCCTTTGATAAATATTTTGCATTGTTCTGTAATTAAGAAACAAAGAGGATTCTCAGCCTCTTTCCCTCTTAGTCTTCGCCTCCGATTTTTTTTTTTTTTTTTCCTCTCTTTTTTTTGCCAGCGGAATTTCAGTATACAGTATTTGCCACCACAGTTGGCCCCAAGCACTTGTCGATTGGTCATGACCAATATTGGGGAAGCAAGTGTATAAGTATCTTCTCTCTTAACTTGTCATTGATCGTTTGACCACTATATAATAATTAATTATTGTTGTTATATAGTAGCCAAACGATCAATGACAAGTTGATGACTCAAAATCACTGGTCCAACCCCCCCTAGCAAGTATTAAATTATCTGCTACCATAGTTATAACGTTTGTCTTCTTGTGTTCTCCCTTCAGACGTTGCCGCTGAGAAAACTCAAAAAGCCCTGCTACAAGGAGTAGAGGACTTTGACACGAAAAAGCTGAAACACACGGAAACTCAAGAAAAGAATCCCCTCCCTGATAAAGAAGGTGAGTTTTTCTATAAATATCCGTTATTAAATTGAAATATTAATAAAGTTGGTATAATATTATAGTCCCACCAAAAGCATTTCCATACAGGGTTATCCAAAAGTCACTGACCACCCCTGTAACTTTTTTCCAAATTGAGATAGAAGTTTGAAACTTTGGGAATGTTCCTCGGTCTAAAGTAGCAACTTTTTGGTCCCCCCAAAATTTTGGGGGGCGGCCCCCCTTAAGGGGGGCGGGGGCTAACTTTTTTTTTTCAAATGGCAACCCCCCCTTTGTGATACCTCATTCGAAAGATAATAAAAAAAGAAAATTTTTGGCGCAAACCGCAGGTCAAAATGTTCATTTTTGACAAAATGTCGGCCGGTCAAAGTTCAAAATGGCGGAAATTTGGCATCTCCGTTGTTTATTGACGGATTGGTGTGAAACTCGGAATTCTGGGGTTTTTTGAGATAAGAAAAACGATTCTGGCATTGGTTTTCCAGAAAAGTCAGTCTTTTGCAAAATGGCGGCGGTCAAAATGGCGGCCTAGAGCGGGAAGTGGATATTTAGGCTGCATATCATTGGATTTGCATGAAACTTGGTATCCGGGGGTATTTCGGCACGAGAAGAACGAATCTTTCATTGGATATCTGAAATTATGACAAATTCCAAAATGGCGGCGGAAAAATTGCGGGAAATCAGTTTTACGGCCCTTTACCGATGGATTAGCATGAAATTATTTGATATTTCAAGAATCTAATGAAAGGTTCCTTTTAATCCAGCCAAAAACCGCCAGGATAGCGAATTTCATGCAAATCCATCGGTAAAGAGCCGTAAAACTGATTTCCCGCAATTTTTCCGCCGCCATTTTGGAATTTGTCAAAATTTCAGATATCCAATGAATGATTCGTTCTTCTCGTGCCGAAATACCCCCGGATACCAAGTTTCATGCAAATCCAACGATATGCAGCCTAAATATCCACTTCCCGCTCTAGGCCGCCATTTTGACCGCCGCCATTTTGCAAAAGACTGACTTGTCCGGAAAACCAATGCCAGAATCGTTTTTCTCATCTCAAAAAACCCTAGAATTCCGAGTTTCACACCAATCCGTCAATAAACAACGGAGATGCCAAATTTCCGCCATTTTGAACTTTGACCGACCGCCATTTTGTCAAAAATGAACATTTTAACCTGCGGTTTGCGCCAAAAATTTTCTTTTTTTATTATCTTTCGAATGAGGTATCACAAAGGGGGGGTTGCCATTTGAAAAAAAAAAGTTAGCCCCCGCCCCCCTTAAGGGGGGCCGCCCCCCAAAATTTTGGGGGGACCAAAAAGTTGCTACTCTAGACCGAGGAGCATTCCCAAAGTTTCAAACTTCTATCTCAATTTGGAAAAAAGTTACAGGGGTGGTCAGTGACTTTTGGATAACCCTGTATAATGGTGAGCCGCCAAGCTAAGAATATCCCCCTAAATAGACGCCAAGTAAATCCCTTCATAAAAAACGAAAGTTTACATTGAAGGTCCTGAATAAAAGATCATCAAATATTTTCCAGTAAATTTCATGCTGTTTAAAATGATTCGATGGTTTTTTTGCAAGATGTACCAAAAGTCAAGCTCATTAGGAAACATATGAATACCTCCATGTTTTTTTTCTGCTATTCCTAGAAAGCCGTATTTTAATAAAGTGTTTCAGAAGTGCTCTTCAACAAAGATTAAGTTTGTCCTTCTTGGAATTCTCAATGCATTATATTTTACGCATTCTTTCTGGAGAAAATTCACCTCTACAATTTCTCTGAGGTTTGCCCTTTCTAATACAGCCTGACTATGTCAGAGACTGTTCTCTCAGAAAGAAGTTGATGTATTTTACATCCTCTTTTGAATTCTAATTACCAAATCCTCGTTATACCTTATCATTACCCTTGGAGAGTTTCTTTCATAGCTTTTTTACTTTTGTTTATTTTGCATTAAAAAAGTTTTGCTTTATCAACAGTTGTTCTTCAGGAAAAGCAACACCTAAACCTTTTGGAAGGAGTGGAGCAGTTTGACAAAGCAACAATGAAACACACCGAAACCCAAGAAAAAAATCCCTTGCCAGATCCTGAAGGTAAAGTTTCAACTTCTAAATCAACAGGGTCTTCTCATCTTAGAAGGCTATTAATAGTATCAATTATAATAAAAATAATGGACGCAAAGTAGACTGGTGATTTTACATTAGGTAGAAAGCTCTAAAATAATGCATCCAAGGCATTATCATCATAATCATTAATATAAACGTGAAAGGATTTCACTCCACGAGGATTCCTTTCCATTCTGTCATTTATTGAAGTGGGGGCTGGGACTTGGTGTCAATTGATCGAAAATGAGTTGTTCTTTCAAATGCAGCCAAATCAAAAATCAGCTCTCTAGTCGCTTATATTTAAAAGTTACAGTAAAAGTCTCAGTTATTTTGGGAAAGTTTTTTGTAAAACCTGGGTTTCACGTTAATTACATTTATAGTTTGCGTACAGTCTCTGTTAGTTTGCTAGTGTCAGTATTTCATCACTTGACATCAGTGTCTGCAACCAATCTGCTTGTATCAGTCTCACGAGCCTTATGCTTCACCATGCAAACACCTTAGTGTTGAGCCTATAATTCTGACGTGGGATGCAACAATTTAACAGCAAGATCATACTCGCAAGCGTTCCTTTCAATGTCAGATGTAAAATTTAATGAGAGTAATAATTTAGGTGTTAAATCGCTTTCCGGAGGAACCCAACTATTAAGGGAGAGTAAGTATACATAAACCGGGTTTTTTTTTTTTAATCTCTTGAATGTATTTTAATTAGTACAAAATGTATTCACTTACCTTTATATTTTCAGCTATCGAAGCTGAGAAGGAACAGAGGAAACTCATCAATGGTATTGAGACTTTTGATACCTCAAAACTAAAACACACGGAAACAATAGAGAAAAATCCTTTGCCAACAAAAGAAGGTATTCACTTCCTTACTTACTTACTTATTTTCTTGTTTCAGTTGTTATGCTTCTCAATATGTTTTCTGATTACAAAGCGATCAAACCACTGCATCGCAAGGGTACAGAAGATACCTGATCTTGCGATCCCAGATCCTAGGATCAAGGCAAACATCAGGCAAATCTTGGGTCATGATGCAATTTTAAATATATCATGACTCTTTTTTTCCTTTTTTTTTGCTTAAGTAATACTTTAGAAAAGTGGGAAAATTTGCACATTATATTGTGAACATTTTTCCATTAAATCAGACTTTTGGATGTAAAGCCAGAAAAACGACGGATCGCGGAAAACAGTCAGTGTTTGAGACTTTTCCATACCCCTGCTGCACAGATTCAGTAATGGTAAAACATGGGAAAGTCATGGCTGCACTGCAAAGAGAAATTGTTTAAAAACTTGCCCTCTAAAGTCAACATTAAATCCTTGGTAGGTGAAGAGCACACAGTTCACAGGCTGGTCTTTACTATGTCTATAGCTTCCTTATGTTGTAGCCAAAAAGATTTAACTTTCCGATACAGAGAGGACACGAGAGACTAGCTTGAGGCTCACCAGCTTCCTTGTGTTGTAGCAAAAAAGATTCAACTTTCCGATACAGAGAGGACATGAGAGACTAGCTTGAGCCTCACCAGCCATCCTAAATGCCTATCAGTTGCATGCTTTTTACCCACCGAAGATTTGATGTGAAATTTGTGCTAGCGTATTTTGAAACTGCTCTGAGGAATGAGAAGTTTTCGAGCAAATACTTCCAATCAAAGCAAACATTGAGTTTATTCCTAGATCAGCGTATCATACCTTTTGGCCCAATAAAGATTATTGGAGCAGCAAAACTCTCCTCAAAATTTTTAAAGAACAAATTTTTTCCAATACTCTAAAAGAAATAAAAGATAACTTTTTAGCATTAAGTAGAGTAGAGTCTCTGGCGGTTTGAAAGACTAGAAGGTCAGGGAATCTTTAGGAAAAGTCAGGGAATTTCGTGAGTATCGCATTGGCTTAGCAACTTCAACATGTACGATTCAAGACACAACATCGTTTAAGCGTTTTTTTCATAATTTGAATTTTTTAGAAGTGAAAATTTTGTCCAAAGTCAGCGTGCTTAAAAGGAAAGTAATTAAAGTGGAAGTTTAGTTCGAAGGTCAAAAAATTCAAAAATGAAGAAAGTATGGAAACTGTACAAGGAGTTTGATCACCCTCCTTAATGATCATAAATTTAAGCTTTGAAATTGGTGATGCTATGATATAACTGTCTTTAGTTCATTATTTCTATCAAATATAATAATATTTTTATCTGTTTGATTTTGTTCTCAGCTTTGGCGCAGAAAGACTGATCCATCTCAATGATTTTCAAACTGAAGTTCTGCTAAATTTTCAATCTGTCAAGCAGTAGTTCATCTTAAATTTTAGTTTTGGATGGTGTATAAATGATCTATGGAAGTCCGATGCCAAAAACAAGTAATTGTTAATTTATTCCACCCACTTTCAAATTATTGTTAATTTTATGAATTATGCACTAAAAATGTATGTGTTAGTTCGAAAAAGTGCCAAAAGAAGTACATCAATGTTAGGTTGCTACTGTAAAGGCACGTAAGTGTGTAAACCCACATGATGAGGTTGCATTTGAAAAAAAGTGTTGGGAGCTCAAAACCAGGTAGTGAATGAAAGTGGCCAAGTTGTGCAAAAGGAAGAAATAATCTTGTATTGAGGCTCCAAAATGCAACCCCATACTTTTTGAACATTCATTCATTCCAAATCACCCCAAAGTAATAAAGCATCTCTTTTATATCCTCCAAATTTATTTTGATGATTTATTCAATTTTTATATTTATATTTTCTCTTTTGTATTTTTATATTTTCTTAAAGAAAGAATGTAAAAATCATATTTATTTATATTTTTATATGCTTGTGGTGTAACTTTTTACTATTTTTAATTTGTATTGAAAAGACAAATGGCTACAAATTCTAAGCAGGTTAGGAGCCATTCAGTTATTTTAAATGCACTTTTTCCACTTCAGGTTTTTATTCCACTCTAAACCCTTTAATGCACTGTGAATGGAAACCCAACCCCCAAGTCTTTTACGATTTTCATGGTGCACAATAGATGTACTGTTCACTCTTTATTATTTAAATCTGATACAATGTTTTTCTTAATTGGATTTTTCTTAGGGAGAAGCTCCAATTTTTCTATTCTATGTGTATTATTATTTTTCTCTACGTTATGCTTGATTTGATCCCTCTTTCCACACAAGAGTATGCAGACTTAGATCCTGTCTGTCTTTAAACACTTACATTGTGCAGTACTTGAATGGTCCATTGTTCAATTATTTGAAACCCCTCAGTGTTTTTATTCACAGTTTTGCACTATGTCTGTTGGCACATAACTTATCAACATTGATTTCATAGAAAAACATTTTTTGGGTGGGAGTGCATTACTGTTTCATCATTACCTCGAGTTACTGAGTAACCTCGAGTAACCAGAATCAAAGGCTTATTTTCATACAACCCACTTTGATTGGGTGCATTTCATCCCTAATATTTTTACCTGAACATAAATCTCTAAGCAATAAAAGTTTTTATTTTAAGAAAAAGAAAAGTAAAGTTAAGCGATTCAATTAAAATGCTTTTATTAATGTCCTTTACAACCTAGTCTGTCTTGATACCTTTTAGTTTACCTCCTTCCACAGCAATCACAATCTAAGTAATGCCCAATGTAGATTAAACATTCAATTAAACTTCCTGGACGATGATAACAGACCATGTAGGAACTGATTCCCTTTTAGCCGTTACCTTCCTTCACACTAAGTGCAATTGAGATTCTATGTTGATGGCTGGAACTACCCGGTGTAAATTATACCAAGATCCATCAATGATTCCGTCTGATAAAATATTTTCAAGTAACAGTAGTTGTCAGGATTTTATATTAAGTGTTATTTAAAGTCTCATCCTAATTCTTTAGGTGATTGCCATGTGATAAATATTATTTTTTTGTAAGATCAAAATTGTTTTAAGCTTTTTATTAACTATATACTTATTTTTCCTCAACAAAGTCACCCCTCTTGTATCAATAAGGAAAACCCTTAATAACAATTTTTATTTTTCAAGAACTTTTTGAAGGTCCTGGTCCTTTTTTCAAATGTCTAGTCTTGAAGAGTCACTGTGCCTCACTGCCCCCCATTGCTTTTAACTTTTTTCCTCTTTTTGGACTTAAATTTTCTTTTCAAGTAACTTGATTTCAGAGCTAAGCTCCTATTAGCTTCCAAGACAAATTGTCTCTCCTGAAATGCTCAAAAGTTGCAACAAAGATCAGTTAAATTTTTTTCACTGACCCTGGCATTTTGCCACAATTACTTTATTTTCAATCACCTACTGACACATGGTTGTTGAAAAATCAGTATTTTCTTAATTCTTTTTGGCTTCTTGCAATCTATGTAATTAATCTAACCGAATCTCATTTTATATTTTGTCTGAATGTAAGTTTTTGTCAGCAAATTAACTGAAATGAAAGACTTTTTTGATAATATGTGAATAAAAGTGATACTTAATTATGTTTGGATAAATCTCCCTTTTCCTAAGAAGCACTCTCTGAGTGAGTAAAACTTAGGACCTGCCTTCAGAGAGAAAAAATTCTGCCATTATTAAGGAGAGCGCAATATCCCATTAAAAAGGTAACAATAAAATCCTTTGCCTTTGTATTGAGGTTGGAAACAAAGAAAGAAAAAGTAATCCATATTTGCTCATTAGATGTTTGAATAATGGGTAGAAATGAAATAATCTGATTACTTACTCTTATTATGAGTACCTCCAAAGAGAGATATAGGACCGGCCCTTCTCCTTGTCGCAGCTGGAAATATAACTTTCATTGGGGTTGTGACAGGGGAGGGGAAGTAACAGCTGTTTGGTCAACCCACTCCACATCTATCTTGACACTATAGTACTCTCTTAGGCATTCCATTAATAGAGGTATGGATGGGCAACCCATCAAATGTTTTTAATTCAGCTTTTTTTCCATTACCATCATTTTACTGTAGAAACTTTAATTTCCTTAATTATATGAGGGCCTCTAAATCAATTCAGTTATTAATCTTTTTAAATTTACATAATCAAAAATTACTTGTCAAGGAGAGTGAATATGACTGGGACACAATGGAGGAAACTGAAGACTAACAAAGAATTAGTGCGCATATTATTGCTTTCAAACTATGATTCCTGTATGCATTTGTATTTATTCTCTTATTTTTAGTTACTCATGTTTAATAAAGCTTTATTTAAATAAAAAAGTTAAGGTTACTTTTTTTCCTGCTCCTATCGCCAACATAAAGGAAAGAAAAGAAAGGGAAGTATTTCTTTTGGTGTACGTCAATGTACATAAAGCACAAACAGAAGGTTTCATCTATCGTCCATTGATAGGCTTCTTACAATTGAAGCGCTAGGTATGAGAAGGGCACTTCTCAGTTGCTGTGTTTCAGAATCTTTGTTCCTACGGATTCTCTGGAATTTTCTCCATTGAAACATCGCAGAATGATAAAGAATATTTAAAGAAAATTTCAATGAAATGCATGCATCCACTTTCCTCATAATGAATGAAATATTACTAGAGATTTTAAAACGTTGCAACCGAAAAGTGCCCCTTTCGCCTGTATCTTAATTATTTTGGTCTTTTGGACCAACATTGTTATCTTATTTGAACCCGCAAGTCATTCTCAATTTTTAATGCTTGATTGCAAGACACAATCGGACAAGAGAAATTGATCTTAGAGACAGAGAGGAGAAGGTAAAAATTATGTCTCTGGGGCTGTAAAGGATACAAATTACAAGGTTTTCCCACAGAAAATTTTACAAGCAACAAAATTTGTTAGTCGATCTATAACATCTGAGGTTCTTGAGGCATGGTTGTATCACTACTTCTTGTTAGCTCCTATGTGTCTCACCAGAACATACAATTCATCATATTATGGCCAAAGTGCGAAACAACATAGGTATCTGTATCTCCATTTGCGCCGTTGCAGACCTCCTGTCATAGGTACCTACCTGACTACTCTATTTTTCTTTGAAAAACAAGTCAATGTAACTTCATGGAAATTTCCTTGATTTTTCAGCTCTGTGAGCAGAATATTCAGTATAAATTTCATCAAGCTCTTAAATTGGCTTAGCCTCCTTCGAAAAAATTAAATATAGTAGCGAAAATTTGAAACTCCACTCTGGAGGTAGATGGTTTCGCTTTAAGCTATTGATCGCTTTAAGCCTTGAAATCCCAAAAATCTAGCGAATCAATGTCTTCTCTTTCCCAGTATTACATAGGAAAGATGATGAAAAGAAAAATCACCGCTGCGCTGCTAGTTCTTAAGAGTTAAGAACTTCATTGTCAATTAAATTGGACTAGAAGCAGATATATATTACATACGTACATACAATGTAATCTAAAATTCTCTAATTTGTTATCATATTTGCGGAAAACTAACCAACAAAACGCCGTAAGAGTTTCTGTGAATTTCACATAGATTATAAAAATGGGTTCATATATTTTTGAGACGAATGTCGTTTTGATTTCTGTCATTTTTTATGAAGAAAGGTGACTCAAGAGAAAGACGCATTAATTCTAATTATGATTATTTTGAAAAAACCGCTTTTTCACCTCCGCCGGCTCTGCTAGAAAAGCGGGAAATATTGGCCAATCAGAAATCGAATCAAAACTGCGAAGTGGGAATGCGAACTAACCTAAAACATATGAAGGAAATTCTCTCTGGATTCTGGAAAAGTCGGTGCATGTGCTTGTGAACATGTTGTGAACTATGTAAGTATGTAATTATTTTATTTTCTTTTACCAATTTGGAGTGATGAGTAAGTACTTAGGTATCATTGATTTTGTAGGTAGGAATTTTTGAACCAGAAATGATCTACGAAATCCATCTATATTATAAGCTCCAAGACCTCCTAATTTTGCGAAACTGGTAACGCTTAGTTCCAGCGTTCTACCAGGCCGATTTTCATGATTTTTGCGGTTATCGACGGGCAATTGTCTCTAGATAAGCCAACTCTTTTCAGATTTTCAAACTATGGCCCAGGTTTTTTTATATTACGTGGTAAAGTTGCGAATTCTCCCATTTAAACAATGTAAATTTATACTTTTTGTCATAGTTCGTTTGAGCGTTCTACCGGGCCTATGCAACAGGGACCAGGGCCCTTAAATCAAGGGAATATTTAGAAATATTCGAATTTGACTTCCTTTTTTAACTGGCAAGAAGCGCATTTCAGCTTGCAAAACCTATAATATGTGTTTTGGGATCTTAAATCAAAACTGAAGGTAGTTGAACGCTATCCTCTATACCATAAGCTCCGAGACCTCCTAATTTTGCGTAACTGGTAAGGCTTAGTTCCAGCAGTCTACTGGACCGATTTTCATGATTTTTGCGGTTATCGACGGGCAATTGTCTCTAGATAAGCCAACTCTTTTCAGATTTTCAAACTATGGCCCAGGTTTTTTTATATTACGTGGTAAAGTTGCGAATTCTCCCATTTAAACAATGTAAATTTATACTTTTTGTCATAGTTCGTTTGAGCGTTCTACCGGGCCGATTTCCATGATTTTTGCGTAAATCGACAGGTGATAGGCCCTAGATGAGCCCGCTGTAATCAGATTTTGGAAAAAGGACCCAGGTTTTTTTAAAATCACGTTATAAAAGTGAGTGAGTTTATAGAATGCTCCGGTACTGCTACCGCTATGCACGGGAGGATGCACAGTGGTCGAGAAGGTTGCGCAGTAGCTGTGTAGCCTGCGCATCAGCTCTACACTTATCTACACAAGATTCGCACCGAACCCCTCACGTCGAGCGGTGACCGAGTCGTCTTAGACGTCGAATGCGTCCGCTTTGAGTGTAGGTTCGATCCCCGACTCATGAAATCTTAATTATTACCTGACTATCATTGTTCATTGTTTTACTGCAATATTTCATCAAGCAGTCATTCCAAAACGCGTCCTTTTAATTTTAAAGTAATTTTAAGTAAAGTTTAAAATTAAAGTATACCTCATATCGTAATTGTTTAGGGGAAAAATAAAACTAACACTGATAGGAGGGTAAATATAGGGCCGCGAAGCGGCCCATTGATGGCGCGGAGCGCCTTCAGGGGGTTGGGCCGCATAGCGGCCAGGGGGCGTAGCCCCCTAGTACTATGTATAAGCTCTCCAGCCTCCTAAATTTTCATTTCTGGTAGCGCTCAGCCCTAGCGTTCCACAGGGCCGATTTTCATTATTTTTGTGGCTATCGACAGGCCTCTCTAAATGAGCCAACTTTATTCAGATTTTGGAAATATGGCCCAGGTTTTTGTATGTTATGGAGTAAAGTTGTGATTTCTCCCATTTAAACAATGTAAACTTTTATTTTTTGTCATAGTTCGTCTGAGCGTTCGACTGGGCCGATTTCCATGATTTTTGCGGCCAAGTTAGGTTATAGTCCGCAGATGAGCCGGCTCTAATCAGATTTTGGAAATAGGATACAGGTTTTTTTCAATCATGTTATTAAAGTGAGTGTATTTGCAGAATGCTCCCCAACTGCTGCCATTATGTGCAGAAGATTGGGCGGTGACCAAGTAGTTACCCTATGGACACAAGACTCACCGTTCCATTGCTGCCCTCAGCGATGGCTGATTGGTCTGAAGCATCAAGTATATCTCTGCTGTGGCGTTAGGTGTAGGTTCGGTTCTCGCCCCCCAAATTCATCAACCCCTATCTGAGACACTCACTTCAACTCTATTTAGTTTTCCAGTGTCATTTTCAAATGAAATGATTCTGTGAAGTATACATGTCAGGACCTCTGGAGGGGGCTCAAACCTGTATCCTGTACTTCCTCCTGTCTTAGATTAGATTTGGCTGATAAGGAGCCCCCTAAGTTGGAGTTGAGTCGCCTCTCAGGGCCACTGTCACACAAGCAGTCCTGACTGTACAGTCTGATGGTGTACGCATGCACACGGGCTGTACAGGCGGACCACTGGTGTGTGATGTGATAGCAGCTCAAGTTGAGACTGAAGAAGTTCTCATTACTAGTTGTCATAATCAAGCGTACCAGAAGAATTTGTCTTATCATGACTGAACTAACTGCTGACAATAAGGCAATACAGAAAGAGTAGCTTTTTATTTACATCTCCTCTTACTTCTGATAATTCTCTGATCCCAGAAAATCCTATTGAATCTTGTTTTGATCAACTCAATTCAGGGGTGAATTTTGATAAATGATAATCCACAGATTACTTTTGGTTGAGTAATGACTCCTCAATGAATAATGCAAAATATTTATTTATTCAAAAATTGCCTCTACCTTTCTCAATTTGTTTGTATCTTATTTTTGCTTTGTTTTCAGAGGTCTGCTGTTTTAAGTAGGCAAGCAACTGAAAATTTGAGTTCAGACCTCAACAACAGCTGATGACGTGCAACAGTATGCCAAGCGTCGTTCACCTCTTCTTTCTTTTGCTATTCTCAATGATTAGTACAAATTCTAAATGTAGTCAGATAAGAAACGTTTTACTTATCGTAGGTAAGTCATCTTTGAATTCATTTTTTATATCAGGTTTAAATAGTGCTGTATCATACTTCTAGCTTTTCTGCTTAACACCTTTTTGTTTTATCATCAGTGAATACTTAAACTGACTTTCTTAGAGAGGAACTGTGTCACCTTCAGTTATAATGAAGTAAAGAAAAGGTTTAAAGGTTTTTTCCTGGATAACATTTGCTGTGAAAAAATTAACCTTTTTATACTACAGATCACCTGTGGGCTTGGATTTTTTGACATGAGAATGTAATGCTCTCGTTGAGCTGTAAATTATTACTCATTTTTTCCAAAAATTTAACTGGGCTTTTTTCTTCTAAATTCAGTCCAATTTATTCTCTTACCCAAACCTTGTCACAGTGAAATAAGTACATGTCAATATATTATTTTGAACTGATTGCCAAAGCATTTTCTCTTTCCATCTTCCTGCCCCTTACATGATAATAATATCAAGTGATATTCTCTTGAAAAAATGAAATCCTTGCAGAACATTAAGAAACGCCACCACTAAAACGTTACTAAATTATTTATCGATGAAAGTACTGAATCAAGTATCTTAGTTGGCACCATTATAAATCTCTTGTCTCAGTGTATTTCTCCAAAGGTCAACAACAAGCTCTGAAAATTCCATTTAAAAAAATCGAGCAGCATTCTGTTAAAAAAAGGATGTATGAGGGGAAATTTCCCAATACTGCAATCATGATCTGAAGTTTAGTTGTTTTACCGCTGATATCCGTTAGTTACACCAATATCTAACTCGTCTCACCATCAAAATCTCTCTAGTTTTACCATCAAAGTTAAAAATTTACCAATTTTTAGTTTGCAGAATTGTGATGAGAAGTGTTTCTTATTTTCAAATTTTAGAACATCATCTTGCTGTCACCAATAACTGTCTTTTAAATATGAGTTTCAGCTGATGATGCTGGTTTTGAAATGGGAGTTTACAACAATAGTGCAATCAGCACACCTAATTTGGACACCTTTGCCAGTCAGAGTGTTACATTCACCAAGGCATTTGCATCAGTCAGCAGTTGCTCACCAAGGTGGGTTGACCTCATACTTTTTCTTGCCATTGAATTAACAACAGCAATTTAACAAACACTAGGTTATCTCAAAATTGCACAAGAGCTGAACCATTTCTATTTATCCTTACTTTTTTTCTTTTGTAAATGTGGAAAGTTGAAGAAGTTCCAGGAGCCTCTATCTCGAGCCTCTAACAAAATTCAGCAACTCACTTTCGAAAATAATATGACTCAATAAGAATTTTCACTTGAATTTTAATAGGAAAAAAGGTTGTCAATAAACAAAACTTAGAAAACAATTGGAAAAGGACAACCAGTTAATATGAAGAAAAAATCAGAAAATACAGGTGAGGAAAAGTTGTGTCAAGCCCAGCTGACCCTTCTCTGTTAAATACTAAACAGACTAGGAATCGAAAGGACAAAATTCATCAAGTGGACCAACTCTCTGCAACTTCCTAGATAGTCACGTGATGCATCATCCTAAATTGTGTACTTAAATTTAAGATTTGAACTGTTTCAGTTCAGACTTTTTTTAGAAGTATCATGAAACTCTTATCAGTTGGCCGTGAAGAATATTTGTTGGATCAAGTTTAGCAGAAATGGACCAAATTGCATCAAATTTGAGCCAAGACAAAGATATAAGAGGTTTTATTCCTCCACAAGACCCAATGACAAGGTCAAAGTTGAATGACTGTTTTCAAGTTTAAAATATTTTTTCTCAACTCGTATTTTTGACAGGAGAAAATTTACTACTGGTTGAATTTGAAACTACTCCTAATTCATTTTTCCCCATTACGACTTGGTGTGTTACTGTTAAACTTGCTTCAATTGGTATGTTATCTCATGTTAAGGCTGCAGTAACTTAAAAGAATCTGTTGGTTGTTCTAACACCCTTCTCAGTTGAGCACTTGTGTATTGTTTCAGTCATTTATCAGTTTTTTCCTGTTTTGTTGTGTGATCAGTCGATCTGCACTTTTGACAGGAAGAATAAACCATGAAAATGGCATGTACGGACTTCATAATGGAGTTCACCATTTCAATTCATTTGACAAAATAAAAAGTCTTCCCCACTATTTATCCAAACATCATGTTCGAACAGGTAAGATTAACTTCTCATGTGTGTGTTCATAGGGTGGAGCGTTTTTGGGCTTTTTTTTTATTTTGAAAATGGACATAGCACAGTAGTTGTGAAATGGTCTAAAAGTAACGCCTGAATTTTCTTGAATATTTTCATCAACGTTTAGGCCTCCCGGATTGACGTTAACGTCCAAATTAGCGGAAAATCCGGGTTTTTTGACGATAACTTGGCAACAATGGCAAATACGACAAAAATGCATAGAATCGGAGTTGTTGGAAATTAAATTTCCAACAAATCACTTTCTTATCGTTTTTTCTGTAAGTGCAACCCTTTTAGTGTAAAATTCGAAAACCCGTATTTTTCCGGAAATTTGGCACAAATTCTCGTTCAGTCCGGGAGAAATACGGGAGAAAGAGGGCTAACTCGGAACAAATTGCGTGATAGACTTTTCCTACAAGAATACCATCATCGGGTTGGCCTGAATAACACAAAACATACAAAATGTTTTCCACGGCTCCACCGCGGAACACCCCTTAAAATGCCTAAAATTCAAAAAGGCGGCCGTGTTTAGATTATCAAGCATCAAGGTAATTTAAAATGTGCATCTCGTGTGGTATGAGGTGTCGTTTCCTACGTCTTTTTAGTCGTAAATTTCAAATATAGTGTTAAAAAAAGCCCCTGGTCAAACGGGGTGCATCAAATCCAGGATGGCGGCCAACTTTGAACGGCGGGAGGGTAACTTATAATGTTTGATTAGTGTATTACATTTTAAATTGATAGTAAGGTATAATATTGGAGTATTGGGTAAGGTAGGATAATATTGGTTTAACATTTTGATTAGAGGTACAAAATTAAATTGTCTTTTATAAGACCTCATCTATGATCCGATAAATGACACCTAGTCGGGAGGCGTAAAACTGGCAATCCAGGCCGAATCCGCAGGTTACTAGGGTTTAAGATGCCGTAATGTTTGTGGTGAATTTAGATAATTTTGGTCGTAAATTTTAAATTTACAACAGAAAATGCCCCATAATCGTGCAGGGTCTCCCAATTATGGGATAAGTGGATGACTTCTAAATGTGAAGGACAGAACAGCAAATTTCAAAGTGTGATAGTAAAAAATCTTTGAAATAAATCTAACAGTTTTCTTAAATGTTCACAATTAATATTACTCCTCAATAAGAGCTGAAATCGAGGATGGTGACTACCTCCATTTGAAGAATCGATAAAACGACACTACAAAATAAATGTACAATTCAAAGAGAGACTGCTGAATAAGCGATATTTACATGCAATTGAGTTACCTATTACTAAGAGAAAAATAATGCAAAAATGAAAACATTGATGATTCATACCACCGGATAATGTTCCTCAGCATATTTTTTGAACAGTGGTGTCGTCAACTTTTGATTTTAGAGAAAATTGATTTTTTTTTATTTCGCCATGATTCTTACGTGACCTGATTTGCATTATTCACATTTCGAATAAAAAGAGTCTTGGTTCTCGGGGGGAGTAAAAGGATTTTAAACGCGGATATTACTTACATGGAAATCGGTACCTTATTTTCGAAGATGTATAATAAAAGCATATTTTAAAATGAGACGTAATGCTAAAAACAACCATGTTGCACGCAAACACCGTTCAGATAATGCCTTCCAGCATTATACCTACACCTCCGGTTAACACTACTGCCTTTTAAAGGCAGTCATCGTGGATTTGGGACGCCCTGTTTGACCATTCATTTTCCACTTAATATTTTACTTCACATTTTACCAAAATTACACAAGGAATAATACTTCACTTCACTCATTGCGTCATTATTTAACTTGCTTAAGTCCTCCCACCCTTCAAACTTATCAGTCTTTTTTGAGATTTGGGTAGCCCGATTAACCAGGTGGTATTAATCACGTCATACTGGAAATCTACGACCAAAATTACGATGAAACAACTAAAGCATGTATCGGTTATCGATGTTGCAGAATTCTTGGAATTTTCAAATATTGCATACGGGATACCTGGTTTGGGAATTTCGCCGTCGATATTCTTTAAGGAACCAATACCTCACTTGACTTATCACGAGAAGAAGTGGCACTAGGACGAACTATCAGGGTAGAATGTGAGGGAATGGGACAAACATACCCTCCTGCCGTTCAAAGTTGGCCGCCATCCTGGATTTGATGCACCCCGTTTGACCAGGGGCTTTTTTTAACACTATATTTGAAATTTACGACTAAAAAGACGTAGGAAACGACACCTCATACCACACGAGATGCACATTTTAAATTACCTTGATGCTTGATAATCTAAACACGGCCGCCTTTTTGAATTTTAGGCATTTTAAGGGGTGTTCCGCGGTGGAGCCGTGGAAAACATTTTGTATGTTTTGTGTTATTCAGGCCAACCCGATGATGGTATTCTTGTAGGAAAAGTCTATCACGCAATTTGTTCCGAGTTAGCCCTCTTTCTCCCGTATTTCTCCCGGACTGAACGAGAATTTGTGCCAAATTTCCGGAAAAATACGGGTTTTCGAATTTTACACTAAAAGGGTTGCACTTACAGAAAAAACGATAAGAAAGTGATTTGTTGGAAATTTAATTTCCAACAACTCCGATTCTATGCATTTTTGTCGTATTTGCCATTGTTGCCAAGTTATCGTCAAAAAACCCGGATTTTCCGCTAATTTGGACGTTAACGTCAATCCGGGAGGCCTAAACGTTGATGAAAATATTCAAGAAAATTCAGGCGTTACTTTTAGACCATTTCACAACTACTGTGCTATGTCCATTTTCAAAATAAAAAAAAAGCCCAAAAACGCTCCACCCTAGTGTTCAATCATTTCAAACCATTTTTTCTCCTTGCATTTCGTCAGCAGTGTTCGAAACTCACAGGCGCCAATATGTCTAAAAATGAAGGCTCTGCGCAAACGTGGCCCCCAAAAATTTGCTTCCCCCCCCCCCCTTAAAAAGAAAATCCTAATTTTTCTGTTTTTTAAAATTTCGACGCACAGCACCGGATTCTGATTTTCACTCCATGGGCCGTGAAATATAGGCAAAAAGTCAATTTTGCCCCTAAAAAATCTTCAATGGCCCCTAAAATTTAAGCTGAATGAGCCACATGGCTCCTGAAACTCACCGGTGAGTTTCGAACACTGTTCGTCTGTAACTTGCCTGTAAAGACTTTCGAGTGGCTGCTTTTGGATGCTGATTTTTCAATTCTAAAATTAATGAATATCACCAGCAAATAGGGATTAACAGGGGTTTAGACCCCCACTAGTTCACTGCAGTAGTGATGGACAGTGTCTCTTTCAAAGTTAGTTGATCATTTGCAATCGTTTTTAGATTGGTCCCCTGGTTTTGGGCAGTACTGCTGAGGAATTTGTGGAAAGCACTGGAAAATAGCGATATCGCAGGGATACCCGTAGTTCAGAAATAGGTTGCGGAAACAGTTGCAGCAGAAATAGATAGTGAATCTTTCTATCTAACCACTAAGAATCATTATAAGAATATAATTCCATTATTTGCAATCTTTTTAGCGTTTGCAAGGCACCCTATGGACCCCAGATAATACCACAAAGGTTCTGCAAGATGCGTAAATGGGACATTGTGGTTCCCAGATTATTTCATGTACCTATGAAATCATTACAATGGAAAATGTTAATTTTGAATTTTTGTTTGTAGAATTTCTTTTTCTGTAATAGCATCTCAGCTGCAGGTATCGCAACGATGTATTTAATACTTGTCAGTAATGCATGTGTGTTCGATGAACTAATATTTATCCAATTATTGTCAACAGGAATTATTGGCAAGAAACATGTTGGACCAAAGTCGGTGTATCGTTTTGATTATGAAGAAACTGAAGAGAATCACTCAATTCTGCAAGTTGGTAGAAATATCACACTCATCAAAGAGTTGGTTCGCGGATTTTTACATCACAACTCATCACAGTAATTACTTACTCTGCTTACCTCAATGCTTTTGTATCATATCAGGTTTGTGTTTTATCGTCACCGATGAAGGAAACTTGTCTTGCTGAATAGCTAGAACAAACGCCAACAACAACAAACAGCAGGAAAAAGCCACAAAGATGATGGAGTATCGTTTTGGAAGTGGAATCCTGGTTTTGTGCCAAGAAGTGCCAAAGTAAGAGCCACTTTGCTATGACCAGAACCAACAGCCTTTTGGAAACAATAGTCTGGGCATGTTGCCCTGTCAGTCACTCTACTGCCTTGTTGAATGTCCCCTCGGCATTCTTTGATGGTAGCTCCTCTCCATGTCCCTAGCAGAATCAGCTCCCCTCTGATTCCTGAAGGAATGCCTCAGGTATGAATTTCATCTGCTCAAAAGTTATCTTGAACATCAATGAATCAATCCAAGAATAAATTTGGTAGCATAAGAAAAAGTAATTGAAATTTTTATAGTGTGCATAAACGGCAAAAGGTTCATTTCCCTGCGAAAACATCCAGGCACCGTCGCTTAACCAACCCCAGATTTGTTATATTTTTGCTGTTTGTTAATCTATCTACTGGAATCGCAAAATCTTTTTCCTAATTCTTTTGGCCTTCATGGCATCACAGCATAGTGGAGGTTGAGTTTTTAGCTGAATTTTGACAAAATTGACATTCACAGAAACTGATCTTGGATCTGACTTAAAAATCTGATGCAAAAGTAATGTAATACTTTTTTTTATGCCCTATATTTTTCATCATGAAGGATTTTTACCATTTCGTGACTCACCTTTGTGATTCAGCTCTAAAATAGCTACTTTTCCGTTGAAGATACCAAAATACTAATGCTCAGGAATACGATAGAGCATGTAACGAAGAATCATATCAGTTTTGTATCAGATCTGTAAGTCAAATAATATCTGAGATACATTTGTTTCTGTAACGGTGGATTTTGTCAACATTCAGCTGAGAACTTAACCCCTGTCTCGTATGATGGGGAGGTCCAAAAAAATTTGGAATAATTTTTTTTTTTTTTTCATTTCTATTACTTACATACCTAGATAAATATAGATAGATGAAAATGTAGGAAAAAAAAGATTGGAGTTGATAGAGTATTGGTCCCTGGATGATTTTGTGTGGGATCGCTCAAGAATATCAAGGAATTCAGATCCTCTTTGATGAATATTCTTCAAATCTCCAAAATCACGAAAGCCAATCCCACATTTTCCATCCAGCTTCTTGTAGTAACCATTGAACTTATTTTTCCAGGCCATTTTTTCTCTACGTAGCCTTTCATGATCCACACAGATGTGGCCACACTCATCCACAGTATGGTATCTTCTGTGAGAGATTCGGTGATGGTCAAGGTAGTAATGGAGTTATCCCAGACTGGAAGCCCAAGTTTTATGATCCGAATTTAGTACAAGTGCCGTATTATGTCCAGGACACACCAGCTGCTAGACAAGAAATTGCTTATCAATACACAACGATTTCACGCTTAGACCAAGGTAATTTTATTCTGGGAGAGCAAATCCATCGAGAAAATAAAGAAAGTGGTGTAGGGCAGGAAAATGCACATTTCTACATCACAACAAGCAATTGCAGGCTTAATGAAGGCTGTGACAAAGTTAGAGGACAAAAAGTAGGAAATTGTTGTTGAAGATGGTCAGCATTTTTGTCAGTCTTAAAAACAGTTCAATTCAAGTGCCTTCAAGATTATTGCAATGCGAACTGTGGCTTGAAACTTTAACCTAATATTTACTCTTGAGAGTATTTAAAAGTGTGTAGCATGGAACACTGGCTTTTGATATTTTAGACCTTAATCTTTTTTCTTTTTCTTTTTCCTGGACGATACAAGTTTAGTTTCTAGTAAGGCACATTCTCCTAACCCCGTCACATAGAATGTTGTTTAACCGAAAAAATTGTCCTATCCAGTTTCATTTGATCATAGCACTGCTAAGGCTACATCTCAGACCCAGGGATTCTTTCTTAGCAAAGTAACGATAAGATCAGAACAGGAGTGAGAATGGTTAGAACATGTCAACTTCTTATCAGCATACTATGATCCTTTTTTGTGTTGATGCTGTGAATTTTTTCTCATTGAATTTTCATTTATCACGTATAGAATGATTTTGTCAAAAGGAAATGATGAACTATTAAATTTTAAGTAATGTTTCCTGACATTCATGGTTTGGATGTACTTTTTATAATTACTCATTGACTTTCATCCAAAATCTGTCAAAGGTCACGCTGTAATTTACTTTGGAGGATACTTGTTTTCTGTTATTCTATTTTTTATTTTTAAAAAAAAAATTCATTTGAAATTTTTTTCTTTTACTTTTTACCAGGTGTTGGATTAGTCTTGAAGGAACTTGAGTCAGCGTCTCTCCTAGATAATACCGTTATTATCTATACATCCGATAATGGACCTCCATTCCCTGCTGGAAGAACAAATTTATATGATTCAGGTAACGCCTTTGTTTTCAAGAATTCCTTAGTCACTTTTTAATTTCTCTAATAATTGAGTTTAATTCTTATGTTGAACAAATGTGCAATATTGATCCAGTTTTGGTTATTATGAAACTTCCTCGGGGAAAACTTTTCACAAAAGACAATCCTTGCAATGAAAGAAGTCTGTTGAACCTACCTAAAATGTTAGAATTTGCACCTTGTTAGTGTGCATAGAAAATATTTAAGATATGATAAAATTGTTGCTTTTGTGTGATTTTTATTATTATTTTATTATCATCATTGTTGTGCCAAATTTTCCTTCTATTCAATGAAAATTTCATGCATGATGAACTTTTTTTAAGATTGGTGGTAGCCTATTTTTCCTGAGCTCATTGTTTTAACCATTTGATACTCCATGTTAAAAACTTTTAGGGAAGTATTCTGATACCATTATTATTGGCCATACTTTTCCGGGATCATCATTTAGGCCTATTGAAATCCTCGGTAAGAATTATTTAGGGAACGCTAACCGGATGGCAATTTGTAAAACTGGTCAGCTTATCCTAATTCTATAAGTGCTTTTTTTTCCTTATCTATATAAATCTAGTCAGTTTGTCACTGAGGCTTGTTAAAGTGGCTTTAAAACAATAATGCCACATATCATGTTTTCTATCTATTCTACAACTCAAAGAAAGTGAAGGCTCCAAAATTGTTTGTTCCTTCAAATTTGGTGACTAGTGTATTTAATTTTTTTACTGTAATCATCTCCAGGAATCTCTGTACCACTTATAATCAAAATCCCAGATGGGTTTATTGAACACCATAGAACGAACGGCAAGCAAACAGACTTCTTGGTTAGTCATTTGCACCTTGCACCTTTCATCCTAGAATGGTTTGGTGTTTCCAGATCCAAATTGAAATCGGAGTATCCGAATCATCTTTCTCTCATGTCCTATTTTAAAGGAGGTAAGTCATTTGATCACCACTATAAGCTCTCTGACCCCTAAATTTTTATTTTTTGTCAGTTTGTTCTACCATTCTACTGGGATGATTTCCATTATTTTTGCTGCTATCAACAGGTGGTAGTCCCTGAATGAGCCTGCTCTATTCAGATTTTGGGAGTGTGACTCAGGGTTTTTTATATTACATGATAAAGTTGTGAATTCTTCCATTTAATCAATGTAAATGTTTATCCATCATCACAGTTTGCTCTTATGATTAACAAGGCCGACTCTATAAGTCTTACAGCTGTAATAGAATAAACTTCCTACATTACTCTCAGGGCTTGCAAAGCTGGTCTGTGAGGATGCAGGTTGCCCTCATGAGGTTGGGCTGCATGGCGGCCAGTTTTTTCAATCCTGCAACTCACCTCATGCCGCTTATACCTTTCTTGATTGTTTTTTGTCTTTCAACCGGTTGAAATGGGTATTTTCATTCACATAGGAGAGAGAGAGAGAAATGTGGGAGAAAGAAAATGCACCTAAAATGGTCTCCATGACCGGCTTGGCAGTGGACATATTAAGTATCATTCTAATCCTGTGAGTTATGCGGCCTACATGGAGAAAAATTTGATGTCTGATTTTTTCTGGTAGAGGAAAAGTTCAATGGCACCATATAGACAATGTCTTATAAAAATCTAGAGGTATAACTTATTTATATAAGGTTTTACAAACAACTGGAAAGTTTCTAGTTTTTAGACCATTTCCCTCTGGACATGGTATGAATTAAAGCTAAAGGCAACATGTTGTATCTTCAAAATTTTCTGAGAAAATGTATCACACCACAGGCAGGGTTACCAGTCAAGGAATTTTGAACAGTGAGGGAAAACCTGGAAATGTCAGGGGTTTTGCTAATTCTAGAGAGTTTAATAAATTGAAGACTTGGATGTGCTATTGTGTCATTTTGTTTCAGCCGATTCAGAGATCCCAAAAATACCTTGATAAGGACTTAATAATCCATTCTACTAATTTGTTGCTGTTATTTGTAAAAGAGCTCCACTGCTTTTGTATCTTTTACTTTCTCGTCAAGTGATACCTACTCCCTGTTTATTCTCTTCCTCAGAGATGCAAGAAAATAAAGAAATTTTTGCCAGCCATTCATTACACGAAGTTACAATGAATTACCCGATGAGGGCAGTACGCACAAACAAATTTAAATTAATACACAACCTCAACTATAAAGCCCCATTTCCAATTGATCAAGATTTCTATCTCTCTCTTTCTTTTCAGGTATGAACGTTTCTATTCCAAGCTTCACCAAAAGTCTTTTTAAAGAAACTTAATTGTGTCAGTGTCTAATTATCCTGCATATTATTTTCAATTTTTATCCTCCCCCCCCCCCCCCCCAATTTCTAGCCATTTCCATTCTGTAGAACATCCCGCTTGGTAATCGCTGAAAGCTATGAAACCTCAAAAAAACATAAAAACAGTGGTACCATCTCAATTTTGAACCATTTCTGACACAGGGTTCAAAGGAAGAGCAACTCTGCATATTTCTATAAAAAAGAATCAACCGATGAATTCTAAAGTGCGGAAGAATCTGTATTCTCATGCATAACCGCAGTAGTTACTCAGTCCTCTCCAGTCTCCTTAAGTGCCATAATAATGTAGCTTCTTAGTCATTTGTCTGAAATTAGAATGCCAATTTCTATTTGATTTTGAGTTTAGATAATGAGCTTTTGTGTGCTCTTGACATTCTTCTTAAAATTGAATTGCTTGTACCTACAAAGTTCACATCTCATCGTTAATTTTTTCTTTTTGAAACTTTCTTTGTCAAGGACATTCTGAATAGAACAATCAACAATCTGCCGCTGCCATGGTCTCGGTCCCTGAAAAGCTACTACTACAGGCCTGAGTGGGAATTGTTTGATGTAAGCACCGACAAAAAAGAAGTGAAAAATATTGCTTACAACAATACTTTTAGTGTAAGTCTACCCATGCTCAATTGTTATGTTCCCTCTTTTTCAACAAATGTAAAGACCACGAATGTAGGCTTTCCATTATGCAGAACATACCCTATGTCTTTGAAAGTGTAAGGTATATAAATTCTTTTGCTCTTCTCTCTGAAGCTGAACACAATTCAATGCATTGAGGACCGATAAAAACATTGATAGCCATGAAAACTGCAGGAAACCGGCAATTTTACTTCCATTTTTAAAAATTTGACAAAGAATCCTGAGTTATCCACGATTTCTCTCCATTTTGGACCATTGTACAACCAAAATTTTTGGAACTGAACACTGCTATATGCACAGGGGCCCAATAAGAACATTTACAGCCAAAACCCATTAGAGGTGTAACTTTTTCGTCCATTTTTCCAGTCTTTTTGCTGTAAAAATGCTGTCCAGAATGATGGCGATTTGGCAACTTTGCCCCCCGTTTTCTCAAAATTCATGCGTATATTCAAGCTAAAATTTTTACCAGAGTTTTGGGGTATCATAAGGTATCGTTTGGGCCCGGTTTCAGAAAAATCCCTGCCGACCCAAATTGTGCCTAAAAACGGTCGTTTTTGGCGTCGCTCTTTAGGAGAAAAAAGATGGAAGTACACTCTTTCATAGTTCACTTCTGGTTTTTAAGTTTCATTAAAGTTTAATCAAAGAGATTGGCCAAATGAGATCAGAGGGTCGTTAAATTTAGAAGTTTATCAGTTCTTGCCTCACATCCAGTTCAGATGCTGACCTGAACAAGAGTAATGATTAGTTATCAAAAATGTCCACAGATTTTTCTCACAGATCTTCCTCTCTGATCTTCAGGAACTATTTTGACACCTTTGGGCCACAAAATCTCAAGCGCCATTGTTGACAAATTGGAATATAGAATGACTTTTTGTCCTTTGAGACATTTCTAGTCAAAGAATATCATTCAGCTGTCTAAAATAAACTCTTCTACTTCCCGTAAAACATCTACATTTCATTTAAATTTGCTGAAGATACTAAAATGGTCATCGAAAGTGTCATAAAGTCTCAAAATAAGTTGTTACAAGCGCCCAAATGCATACCTGCCTTATCTCTTCAATTTTTATCTGAACTAGATAATAAGAGTGATTTTGAACATGTATTCAAAATCTCTACTGTGTTTCTAACAGCCTTGATAAATTCTTCCCTTTTTACATTATGCTCGTGGAGATTTGCGCTCAATTGGTGCTTGTGATACTTTGGCTTGAATGCGGTAATTTCTGATTTAAGTTTAGTTCTAAATTTGTTTTGAGTCAACATGGTTTAAATTTAATTTTTTCTTCATTTAATTCTGGAAGCATAAAGAGCAATCTTTCTAAATAAAATTGTTGCTAATCTTTTCTCTATTTTTCCGACTTTTTTCTAACAGGAGGTATTTTCGGACTTGAAAAAACGTTTGTGGAGGTTTCAAAATAAATCAAATGATCCATGGATCTGTGGTCTTGGAGCAGTCTTTGAAAATAGTGGAACTTTTAAACAGAAGCCTAGGTGTCTACCGCTGTACAACGGACTGTAACCTTCAGCTGAGCTTCAAGTAACTCAAATCCTCAAAAGTTAAAAAAATTAGTCTTGATAAATAGTCAATCAATTTTATGAAAAGTTAGTCTATCTGGACCTGCCACTTCCTTTTATTCTCCAACCTTTACTTAACTTGCTCTCTAGGTTCTGATCCTTCAACTGTACTTTTATCCTATCTGTAAGGGACCATTTAGGACCATACGTTCTTCAAAATGTACACACTCACTTCTTTTGCTCATGCAACATATCATGTACGCGCACTCAGCATCGCTGCACGCATACCCAACATTGTCTGTAGTCCCAGATGAAGAGCAATTTCAGGCAATTTGCAATCGGCTTCCAGGCCTTGAGTAGGTACACACAGGTGTTCGTCCAGTTCTTTATGCTCACCGGAAATGTTTAAATTTACATCTTCAATCAGGAGTTTTACCCATTAATTTTAATGAAATACAGATAGAAATATTTAATTCGAATTTAATGAAATTCATCGGCGGAATAAAATGATTAAACAAATAAAGAATGAATACAACTTTAAAATAACACTGATGAAACACGTAGTCATCTACATATCAGGAATGGTGAGCCTGTGCTGATGGAGTCATCCACTTGGAACAATCATAAACGAACAAACCTTCTAATGATTTATTTCTGCAGATGGAACAGCCAGAGACTTTTCCTGACTAATAAAGTAAAGGACATCTAAACTAATAGTGTGATTTATGTAGCACCAGAGTTCCAAGGAGCACATTACCCTCATTTACATTGTTAGTGGTCCTGACGAATTTTTGTTGATAAATCGATCGATTGACTGGATGCTCGGTCAAAACCCCACTTTGGAATTGAAATCAAGTTAGAGATACCACTGACTTTTTCTTCAATGCCCTTTATCTCTAAAATTCTCCTGGTTGTGTGATTGAGAAGCTCTTGCAGAGAAACTTTGCCACCCGTTTCTGTAGCTGTGATGCTGCCTTTCTCTGGATAACACTCGGTATTTGCTTCGCAGAGTTCATAATTTGATGGAAACAGTGATTTAGTCTTTTTACATGTTTGCATCTACCTTTTGGGTACCAAATCTCAAAAAATTATACTTTGCTTGCGAAAGACGACAAGAGACCTATAGGTTGAGTGCCTTTTTACCTTTTAAACTTGAGTTTCCTTCTTCCAGTCCGCCTCTGCAGAAATCAATTTTTTTTTTTAGATTTGCAGGGGTTTTTGATAAAAAAATCAATAACTTCAGCTAGGTCAAGCAGGCCCTTTTTCCAACAACCACTCAGAGTATTTGGGATCATCCAGCCACCTTTTATTAAACTCGCACTTGCCCATGATCAAACTGATTATATAGTAAGCACAAAACCACGAGTTATAGAGGCAAAAATACAATCCAAAAGAAAAGCTCAGGAAATAACTAAGTACAGAAAAGCAATAGGTTCAAGCGAAAGTAATAGCAGTTTGCGGATAATGCAAAATATTGACGGAAATCTGGTCAAGAGTAAGAGGCAGCTTTTGCAAGGTACGGCAAGACTTTACTACTATTCCTTACACTACTACTTATTACTACTTCTACGGTATTGTCGTATTGCTTATAAAACTATTTGCTACAAAAACACTCACAGGAGAAACTGAAAATTTCTACACAGGAAAAACTGAAAAAAATAACTTCAAAGGAAAATAACTGAAAATTTTTTTTTTAAATTTTTAGGAAATTTAAATTTGTAGGCAGAATACACTGAACAATTTGAGGGAAAAGACTGGAAAATTATTTTAACACGTTTTGTTAGTGCCTCACTAATTTTCACACTGCACCCGTCTCCAAACGTGCGGAAAGTTTCTGCTGAAGGGGAGGGAAAGAGGGGGGAGGGGGCGTTCCACCAATCTATGTTTTATTTGACCCATAGATAGGTCCTTCTGGTCAGCAGTGGCCATGTGAAGCAAAATTCGGGGCTCCAATCGGGGATTTCCCAGCACGGTCTCCGATTTTGGTGCTTCAGAAAACAATGGCGTCTGAAGCTCTTTGCCATCATGCAATCTTTGCACTTTTCGGGTTCTCCTGGCCCAGCTCAGTGCGGAGATTGCAAGTACGTCGTTGAGTTTGATGAAATTGGAGCGAGATGTGATGGAGTCTCAGCTTGTGAAGGTAAATTTATTTTGGTGGGGGAGGGGGGGTGAGAAACAGGGATGAATACTGGCAACTGACTTAGGTCATGAGAGTTTGCCACGCGTCTAGAGACCTCCTCTTCCGTCACTTCCAAATCATCATCTCCCGCGCTTTCTTCTCTCATCTACTCTCTTATTCTCACATGCTGCTCACTCTCTCACTCCATTTCGTCTGGCGGAAACATCTTCCTACAAAATACCTGCAGTGTCTCATTTATATCTGTTGTCTCACTTCCATTCACACTTACAGCACTCAACACTCTCTCCGTTTTCATTTTTTCACATTGCATACGGTACACCACACTCCTGGGATCTTTTCTCCCTACCTCATTCACGAATGTTTTCCAACTTTCGAATCTCTCCTTATTTATCATCCTTTTAAACTCCTTGGAGGTCTTTTCCAGCTCGTACTTCTTTCTCATTCTTTCTCTGCCTTGGGCTCTCTGGTACGCTCTTCTTTTCTTCCTGAGCTCCTTTTTCTTTTCATTCAATAACTCGTTCCACCACTTCACTCCTCTTCCATTCCCTCTCTTCTTTCTCCCACACACTTTCTCACTCACTTTCACCACTATCTCAGTAAGTCTTTTAACTCTGTCCTCCAGCTCTCGCTCTCCTGAGTCACAATCTTTCCTTCTTTCCCATTCCCATTCAAGCTCCCTTCTGTACTTTTCCCAGTCGACTCCTTCCGTTCTAATCCTTCCACTCTCCACTCGCGCTCCACTCTCGCTCTCTTTCGTCCTAATCACTATCGTTCTATGGTCCGCCAAGGCGACACCATCTTCATCCTTAAGTACCTCCCATCCACACTCTTCCACCAGGTCTTGCGTTACCAGCGTAACGTCTACATTACTCTCTCTTCCTCTATATCCTCGAAAGGTCATAGGGAACCCTGGTTGGTTCAACACACACATCTCCATACGCACAATCGCTTCTTCAAGCATCTCCCCAAAAACGTCATTCTTTCCACTATACCACCATTCACTCTTAGCGTTAGCGTCAGCTCCGATAAGTACCTTCTCCTCCCCAAACTTATCAACAATTTTCTCCATCAGTTCCAAAGAGACTTTCATCTTCTGGATGTTGACACTTTTCTTCTCTTTATCATTGCCTTTGCTGTATATGCTTGCACAGATAAGGCGTTCGCCTTCTGTTTCCACAACACACACTGCAGATAACTTTGTAGTGACGCTCGGCACTTTCAGTACATCAAGGCTCCCGTCATAGACATAAATAGCCGCTTTCACTCTGCTCCCAAAACTCTCATCACATATCACTCTCACTCCTGTACCACCTGACACTGGTAAGCCGGTCTCTGGTCTAGTATACGGCTCTTGAACCAGCGCAACTTGCACTCTATTCTTCACGCACCACATTCTCAGCTCATTCATCGCTTCCTCAATATAGAAATAAATATAGAAATGACAAAAAATGAGTTTCAAATGAACACGGTAACTCACTAAGGTAGCACAGATTCATAATGAAAATCAAACATATTTAAAAATTATTAATACTTCATAAGAGGAACAAAAATAAGACTTCAATAGAATCAATTTTAAAAGTTGCAGCCATTAAAGTATTCACCGGGTTACTTCCTTCCCTTCCTGTATGCTAGTAGAGAAACTAGTCTCTCCATTACTACTTAATTCATTAATTGTCAGGGAAACAGGAATTTACTTACAGAGCAGTCTACTTTAATGGCATACTAAAACAAAGAAAAACTAATATAATAAGCAATACAGAAATGAGAGGTAGAAAAAGGAAGATTAACTAATAAAATGAGCAGTATTAAAATGAGAAAAAAAGTGAGTTTCAATTGAATGCAATCACTCACTAAGGTAGGAGGAAAGAATCATAATAGAAATCAAACATATTTAAATATTTAAAAATTATTAATACAGCATAACAGGAACAAAACTATTGTACCTAAATGAGAACGATATGCTGTAGAAGTACACGCGTAAAAGGTTATAATTGATAGAAACTTGGACGGAGTAAAATGCAGGAAAGAAGGGGCCAACAAACCGAGATCGACTAGTCAGAATCTGAAGAAGAATCACTGCTAGAGTCAATCCTCACATTTTCTTTTGACCCCTTCCTCCTTTTCTTGCTCGACTTTTTGGGTCGCTTTTCTCTTTTCAACTGTACCATAATATTCAAAATGTCTATCATCTTTCGACCCTGATTCATTTCCTCTTCCTGTATTTCCAGTTGCTTCTTTCGGAATTCTCTATCTTCTTGTTCCGTTTTCTGCATGAAGGTCATGAGTTCATGATTTGTAGTGGTAGCCCTCGGTTTCAAACGTTTCTTGACATTTGTGTGACGTGATGAGGATGGTTTATCTGACGAAGAAGTTTCACTGGTTGAAGAAGTCTTGCTTGATGAAGGTGTTCTTGGAGGAAGCACAACATCATGCGGATTTTCCATCACATACTCTTCATCGGGTTCCATCATCACTCCTGTATCAAAAGTAACACTTGAAGGCGTTGAGTTAAAAGATGTTGCTGATGCGGGAGTTGATTTTGAAGAGTTGTGGACTTTCGGTACGAGCTCTGGAGTCTTGGGAACCGCTACGGAAGGGCTATTTACTGAGAGAATATTTCTTGTTGCTTGAGAATTGGAGGGACGCGAAAATGCAGACGTGGAAGGACATATGTTGTCTGCAAACTTCAAACAATCAACGGATTCATTACTGGGAGCTGAATTAGTAGCAACTGGTTTACGGGAATTCTTTATGTTCTGAGGATTTAAATCTGCTCTAAGTTTAAAATATGGATGGATTACATTGAAATATGCGCAGGGCTCTGCGTAACTCCCTCCGGTTTCTGTAGTTTTCAGTAAATACTTTTTATAATCTTTAGCTAGATTCCTAAACTTCGATGCGCATTTGTTAGCGGCTTCAGCCAATGAGTTGACAGGCATGTGCAAGCCGAGGTCATCCATGGCCTTGGCAATACGTTCCCAGACATCTTTCTTGGTAGTTGTTTTGTCGTTCAAAAGCTTGTAAGTCCTATCCTCAAAGACCAGAGATAAAAAGAGCTCACAAACATCTTCAAAATCTGCTGAATCACTCAGTTTTCTACTCCAAAATGTTCTCATCGTCTCGGTTTCCGAAGAATCGTGTGTGTTAGGTGAGTCTGATTCTGAAAAGAGAAAACAAGGAATCCATTAAAGATTGGTAAGTGGCTCATTAAATTTCACTCAGCTGTGAATTCCTCATTAAACCTTATTAAACATGTTATTTCGTACAATAGAATTATAAGAAAACATTTAAAAGATGATTTGGTTGCATCAGAGGTATTCCTTGCCCACTGCAGTTGCCACTCAGTATTTTGATGAAAAATTTGTCACTTCAATCCGCCTTTCCACTAGGTAGATTTATTGTGCAGGGAGTCTCATAAGTCAGAAAATATTTGGACATAACATCTGGATGTTGTACTGAGGAAGGACCTGGCCTGGGAATGCCAGAAAAGAAATGGTCATGTGGACCCCTTGCATTCAATTATTCGGGAACATTCAAAGTAAGTAAATGGCGAAAGAAAGTGAGACCTTACCTTCCACATTCATTTCAGGTTCATGACAACCTTCAAGATTCAGTTCTTCCGTTTGTTGTACTCCGTTGGCATTGATACAGGGTTATTCAAAAGTTACGCACCACTGGCCATAACTTTAGTTCTAATTATGATATCGATTTGCGGTTTGTGGCGTCCTTCCTCATATCGAGGGGGAAACTTTTTGAGGTACTTTTCAGTTCTTCACCCCCCCAGGGGGAGGGGGGGCGGGGGGCAACTCAAAAATTTCAAATGGCAACCCCCATCATGTGATACATCGTTAGAAGGAGCATGAAAAAAGAAAATTTTTGGCGCAAGCCGGAAGTCAATCTGACCCCCCTGTCAAAAGTTAGGGGGGTCCAAAGGTTATTTAGCGGGTCCGTACCTTCATTTTTTAGAGTAGCTTCGGCGGCTCTTGGACATACCGTTTCTCTTTTCGAAGAGTCCTCGAATACTCCAAGTCTGATACCGAAGTCTTCATACTGCCCCCGGGCCACCACAGCCCCCCCGTAGGGGGGGATGGGCCTGTTACAATGAAATATTGCATTAAAATGCGAAA